TCCCTGGGATCTCCCAGAAGGATTGTAATGAAAACTCTTCCCTAGGTGCCATGGGTGGAAACCGGTGGTAAGATTTATTTTCTTTTTTCTTCGCAAATGGTGAGTAGACCACTTGTCCAAGAAAGCAATTTCACAAACGGTGTATTAAGATGGTGCTTGTGTATTGTGGTATCCACCTTACCCCAGTCCTGCACAGAGCTCTTTTTTTCTCCTTATCAGCAGATGGCACCTTTGACTTCTAGACAACAGACAGTGCAGCAGGCTGGAGTGGCACTGCAGCATCAGTGGGAGGATCAGCACTGACCATGTCTTAAAGGAGCAGTCTCTGATCCACTTTGTAAGCTTTTGAAGGAGGTTGGGGAAGAAGTGACCCTTTTGTTGCAAGTCATTGTGGTATGTAAAAGTTTATATAGCCAGAAACGCTGAAAATTATTTTAGAAGACTACAGATATAGTTGCCTGTGGAATCTCCACTAGATAAAAGATACAACCAATGCATTGCAGTGGCACAATCGACATTCCAGACCAGTGGTGGCGAACCTTGGCACTCCAGCTGTTTTTGAACTACAAGTCCCATGAGGCATTGCAAGGCTCCGACAGCCACATACATAACTCCCAGAGGCAGGTGCATGTTGGGATTTGTAGTTTTGGAACAGCTGGAAGGCCAAGGTTCTCCACCACTGTTCCAGACATTTGTTGTGGTTGTCTGAAGGACATTTTATAAAGGGAATTTGATAAAAACTGGAGCAGGCAGAATCTGGAGCAGTTGCCCCTGGCAACTAATCAGCATTCGCCTTTCATTTTCAAACCTTAACTGAACAAAATGAAGAGAAAAGCTGATTGGTTGCCCTAGGCAACTAGCCAAGATTCTTCTGCTCCCGTTTTGATAAAATCCCCCCAAAGTTTTAGTCTTGCAAAGTGTCTCAGACCCATGAAACAACTTAGTGTCTTCTGAAAAGTACACTCTACCTGATACAATGATGGCAAATTCAAAGGAAACAAAAGGGGAAAATTCATCTTAGTTTCATAAGGCACTTCTCCAATATTACCTTTTATAATCCTTAATAATTGTAGCCTGTGCCTGTAAGAGATATTAAAAATGCAGTCAGAATAGGGAATCTGCCAGACTAGAAATATGAGAACTACTAATGCAGTATTATTTATGAAGATGTGCAGTCATATAGTGACATCCTTATTTTTTTCTTTCACAACCTGATAGTTACTGACCTGCAAAAGCTAATTTGTGTCAGGTACCTCAATGGGATAAAAATGCTTGTACCAGGACAGTAACTCATCTGATGGTAAAGAAGGGATTATATAAGAGCTTGTTCACACCTTAAACAGTGCGTTCCAAAGGCACATCCTGGCTGGCTTCCTGCGTATAGCCGCGGGAGTGGGCGTGGTGGTGCATTAAAGTCAACGGCACCACAGCCATGCCCACTGCTCGCAGTGTGATAGTCCGCACCAGAACGCATGGCACATCAGTGCCTGAGTTCAGGTCCAGTGCGATGTGTAAAAATAGTGCTTGCAGCATTTTTTCAGATGACGTCACATTCCCGCCAGTTACATGTGAACATACTACAAACCATGACAGTAATCATATAACATCAGATCTTATGCATACCTTAATAAAAATTGCTTGCTCTTCAAGTAACATCGCATTGGGAGCTGTGTTGTTAAATAGCTCTGTCCGCCCCACACGTGATCTTGTGCGGTAGGCAGAACCCTAGAGTCCCTGGCCGCCCATCCCTATTGCCCACTGAGTAGAGGCTGGCTCGGCAGGGGCATGTGCAGTGACTACCGGCGCACTCGTATTGCCTCTTGCCTCTTTGCTCAGCCGATCAATTGAGGGCTGCAGATGACCATTCAAATGTCCTATGTATTGCCAGGCAACTAGGCAACGCTCTCCACATAAGGACGGGCAGCCAGGAGCTCTGGGGTTCCGCCTACTTCCGCATGAGATCACATGTGGGGCGGACAGAGCTATTAAACAACATGGTGATCGCTGCTCCCAATGCGATGTTACCGGCACGGCTTGAAGAGCAAGCAATGTTTATTAAGGTATGCATAAGATCTGATATGTTATATGATTACCGTCATGGCTTGTAGTATGTTTACATGTAACTGGCGGGAATGTGACGTCGACGTGAGAGGGGGGCTGTGATTTTTCTCGATTGGTTTATTGGCTGTCACTATTGTGTATTTAAGTCACTTTATATTGTCGGCGTTCATTTTCTGTTTGCCTGAAGAAGGGACCACTGGGTTCTGAAACGTCCCTCTGAGATGTTATTGATGGAGGTGCCCTCCGCACACCTTTCAGCAGTCCCGGCCAACAATCAAATAAATGGTGCTCGAAGTAACTTCACGGATGGCACCGTGCAAAACACAAGATTGAAGAAAATAGGTCACCAGCACTCCATAAGTTAAAAAGAATGAGTCCTTTTAATGGACAATGATGTTTCGGGGGCCACACAGGGTCCCTTCTTCTTGCCTTGAAGAAGGGACCCTGTGTGGCCCCGAAACGTCGGCTCATGTTGGATTTCTGTGACATCATTGTCCATTAAAAGGACTCATTCTTTTTAACTTATGGAGTGCTGGTGACCTATTTTCTTCAATCCTCTGAGATGTTACACTACCATATTCAATAAAGAGATTGACTTGGCATCGCTTTGGAGTGCAAGTGACTTTGCACTGGTTTCATGAGATTTGCGGAGGCATCTGCTGTCACTGCTGCAACCACCCTGTTTCATTGGGATTGTACAGTCAGGAGTGCAATGGGACATATTGAATCTTAAGTGATCTATTGCAAATCGCATGTAATTATATCATACAATTACACAAAGACTGCTGCTTACAGATGTGGCCTCTGTCACTGTCACCTGGTCATCAACTGGAACATGTACAGCATCCACATCTAAAGGGAACACCTGGCATTCCTACTGCAGGAATCCATAGGTTTCTGCCACATGAATGCCAGAACACCCAGTGTGAACAAGGCGTTAGACCAGGGGTGGGCAACTCAGGCCCTGCAGTTGTGCTTTAACTGCAAATCCCAACATGCCTCTGGGAGTCATGCCTGTAACTGTCAGTCTTGCAATGCCTCATGGGACTTGTTGTTCCACAAGAGCTGGAGAACTGAGTTGCTGACCCCTGCTTTAGACAGATGTTACCAGAATGGATGTCTACATTGGAAGACTTACCCTCACCTCTTGTTCTGGTGACAACTAAGGTTGTAGTCCATCACAGGAGCGAGCTTGGAGCAGTGGCTACTTTACAACACACACAAGGACCATGAGGAACAAAAGTAGCCACCCTCCAGAAGGAAGGACAGTGTCAGCACCAATTCAGAGATGATTTGAGGATCTGCAGCCAAGTGATACACAAATAAGACACATTTTTGATAATAGTTAGAGTGCTTGAATGCATTTGTAAGATTCAGCTTCTGACTTTAGTGTCACTTTCAGGACTGGTAAGCTGAAGTATCTCATTTTTTCTTTCTTTAATAACAATAGGATGTGAAGATAATGAGAGTGATATACAAATAAGATACATTTTTGTTAATAGTTATGCTACTGGAAAGCATTTTCAAGAATTAACAGAGTTTAGTGTCACTTTAACCTCATATAGTGATTATGAAGCAGGTACACTATGAAGCAGGTTCCTGCTTCATAACCACTTAAAGGAGAACTATTGGGTCAGTGTTTTTCCCCATAGTTCTCCTTGGGGTAACGGGAGGACACAAACTAGCGTCCTCCCGTTACCCTAAGCTCAGTATACCGCAAGCTACAGCTCACGGTATATTGAGATGCCACACCGCCCAGCTGCGTGAGTGACAGCTGGCTCTGCCTATCTAGAGGCAGAGCCAGCTGTACCCGCCCCCTCCCCCGTCCGTTCCGCCAGTCAGTGCTGGCAGATCGGAGCGGGAAGAGGGGAATCCAGCCCCTGTCACGGCAGAGAGCCGTGACAGGATCGAGAGGTGAGGGAACCCGGTATGTGTTCCCTCACCTCCCGATCTACTGAGCCGACCTGTGACAGTCTCATTGTCACAGGTCGGCTTAGAACTATGAGGTGAGTGGAAATCGCTCATCTCATAGTTCTCCTTTAATGAAGCAGAGTGTATCTGGAAGCTCAGCTGATTGCATCTGAGGATGAGGAAGAAACCTGCACATCTAAAGTCATGCCAGGGATGCCTTGCTTGATGTAACGCCTGCAAAACCAATGCGTGGCAACAAACCCCAGTCCAACAGCATCAGCACTTGCTGGCACAGTCTGGGAAGGAATTAGTGATCCTGCATCCCTCTGGGATGGACATCAGAGGGCTGACTGCCCGCAGCATCGGACACTGTCCCTGCTTCATGGCAATGCAGCCTTTTCCCCTCCAGCACACACAGTGAATACAGCGCTTGCAGGAGTGAGTCTGCAAACTCTTTAGATCTCCCTTCAGAAAATAATCGATCCCTTCAGAGCCGATAGCAGCACAGCTATGACTTGCTTGTCCAAGGCACAGAAGGCTGGAACTGTTGATGCAGCTTTAATCATCGCTGTGCCTGTGAGCCGTGCTGCACACCTCAGCCCGTGCTCATACCTATGATTCTTGCACTGGTGGTTGCGGTGTTACAATTGGGAGCTGTGAAGGAGGAGGTGCCACTGACAGCAGGATTGTCAGGGGTGTGTGTATGAAGGGAAGGGGGGTGGCTGGGGGGGAGACCCTGATCCTCGAAGGAAAACAAATCGGAAAGAGAGGAAGAGGTCTCTTGGAAGAGAGCACTTTGGATACCTGCTATGGTTTACTTTCATGTTCCTGCACGGGTCTCTGCGCGCTCGCAGATGGAATGCAGGGAATCTAAATGATAGTCGTCGTCGAATTTGTGGGGCGCCAGCGGCGACCCCGATCTCACAGCTGAGTGCGAGGCGTGCGTGCGTGCGTGTGTGTGTGTGCGCGTCTGTCGTCTGCGTCTTTTGTCAATCCGGTCCGCCTATGCTCGGGGAGCCTGTACCTTCCTTTTCCCTGACATGAGAAGAGAGTGAGAGGGCGGACCTGCTCCATCTCCCCTGCAGTCATACACTAGAATGGCTCTGTCCCCGAGGAGGTACTGGAGATCAGCCTGCGCTCTCCGTGGTGCTGAAACCACCGCTGCTGCTGCTACTGCTGGTGCTGCTGTCACCGCTCTGGCTGGAGGCTTCCACAAACCTGCCATTCAGATGCCACTGCTGCCTCCACAATGCTTGCTGCTGGTGCTAGGCTTGGGATTGGGACCGGGTTTGGTTCGTGGATCCAGCGGAACAACGATCGAGCAGCCTACTAACAGCACGTCCTTGTCTATCATGGGTTTGATGCCTCTCAGCGAAACGGTGGCAAAGGGAAGTATCGGCAGGGGGATCCTGCCTGCCGTGCTTTTGGCTATTGATCAGATCCGCAATGAATCCCTGCTGCATCCCTACGTCCTGGACCTGAAGCTCTATGACACAGCGGTAAGAGGTTCACCTACTGCTTCCCTTCTGTTTGTGCTCTTGATGATGCACCTAGATCCATTCTATGCAGCTATGGATTGGAGATAACTAGTCATTGCCCATTAATTGATCATTTTTTTCTTAAATTGTAGAGGGTGTGCAGGTATGTAGCTAGAATTTTGCAATAATGGGACGTTGTCTTTGGCTACTCCTAGAGGTTTATCTGGCTACTCCTAGAGGTTTATCTGAATACGCTATGTATGTTTGACGGTATGTCATTAATAGGGTTGTTTGATGGTGTTGTGCGTGATTTTTCCCATAACATAGCAACAAGGCACAATTCCTTGAGTGGGAGTCAATGTAATGATGAAGAGAATGCAGAAATGCAGCTTAGCTCTTCAGTATGTGCTTCCAGCACCATTATGCTGCATAGGTGCATGCCTACCTTTTCTTGCTGAAGATAGCTGCATGTATGTTTGTTAACATTATCTGCTTGCGGCTTTCATTATACATCTATATCACTGAACCTACCATTTAGGTTTAGTCATTTCAATCCTGATGACTCTTCTATTCTATTATGATATAGGCATAGTTCAGCTGGTTGAGCAACAGCTGCATTTAAAATGTCACTTGTTTTGGGCTTTAGACGAGCAGGTATAGGCAGCCAATATCTTTACCTGGCATATGGAATTATCACTATGTGTGTTTCATGTTCAAAATGGAATAGGAAAGTTTAACCATGATTTAAATTGGCCATTGCTGTGCTCTTACTGCATATAAGGAAATTATTTCGTCTAGGTGTATATAGCTAGTGAATACCAATTAACATGGCTGAGGATGAGCAACACTTATCTAATGTATCCTAGAACATTTCTAGGGATATTGATTGCGCTGTCTAGATAATCCACCCTGACTCATGTAAAGAGGTCAAAATAAAGACAGTACATAATAGCTGAAAATCTGCAAACTCAGAATATGTAAATAAGCTAAATAGATTCTGGTCTCATTCTACAGAACATGCTTGGCATGACCCTGTTGAGTGAGCGAGTGCCTGAAGATGGCAGTCATTTCTTGTGGAGATGCTTGATACCATTTCCAAGGCAACCTCTTAAAATATTCAGCTTGTTTCTGATGGACTACACCTATACCTTTGTGAGTTATGTAAAAAAAATGCAAACAGGATTAATATTGCCCAGTCTTAGTCTAATGAATTAAAACGAATTGTGCTACACATTCAATAAGTATTAGTTATTCCAGCACGTAATACCATATATACAGTATCAACTCATACATTGAAAAAAATTGATTCATTTTTTTCACTTTTTTTAAACCTCCCTCTTATTAATTAATCTTTCTATAAGCTGCCGGTTTTGCACAATTGTGTATTGTTTTGATTTGTAATGCAGATGTAGAATCCTAGGTACTAAACCTCGAAAACTAATCTGTAGCCAGCTATATGGTTGCATTTTGAATTTATATTTTACCCGACAATTATTCACAACATAAGCAGACACTGAGACAGAGTTCCTCCATCAGAAGTGTTTCACAATGATTCAAGCCAGCAATTAAAGTAGTAATAATAAAAGGCATTAGGGTGTGGACCTTTTTTTTGTTTTCTTTTGCATTGTTTTGCAAATCATTTGCTGAAGATTTGAAAATGTGTGTTGCTTACTAGCAGATTTAAATCAGAAAAATGGCAGCTGGAAAATGAAAGTTTGAATCTTTTTATTTGCTATATTGAAACACCAAGGGTTATATTTATGTGAATCTGACATGGACCAAATATTCACTGCATGTAAATCTTCTGGTGCATGTGTTTTCAATGACCAAAATTGTTTCGATTCAAATGAAAATCACATTAACTGCTTTTATAAATATGCCATAAACTGTCTCAGAAGGTTCCCCTTTTAAGCACTTTCATAATTAAAATGTATGCATACCCTAAACTTTTTTTGTTTTGGATATAGTGGTCAGGTTAGAAACTCCGATCGAGTATTTTTTTGTGTCTGTGTCCAACTCAGGAGATTTTGCTTCACTTCCGGTTCTGGAGACTCAACAGTAAATGAGAGGAAATCTCCACAAAGTGAGGGGAATTCCCATTTTTAAAAGTTGTCACTAGAATATGTATCTTGATTGGATGATTTACCCTCACCTCTTGCTCTGGTTACAACTGTAAAAGTTCAAATTTCCCTTCACTCTGTCTTAAAGGAGAACTATGGGGTCAGCGTTTTTCCCCATAGTTCTCCTTAGGGTAACGGAAGGACACAAACTAGCGTCCTCCCGTTACCCTAAGCTCACGGTATACTGAGACGCTGCAGCCGGAGCGGGTACCGACTTAGATGACGGGATCCGCCCAGCTGCATGAGTGAAAGCTGGCTCTGTCTAGAGGCAGAGCCAGCTGTACCCGCCCCCTCCCCCGTCCATTCCGCCAGTCAGCGCTGGCAGATGGGAGAGGGGAATCCAGCCCCTCCCCCTGTCACTGCAGAGAGCCGTGACAGGATCGAGAGGTGAGCGAACCCGGTATGTGTTCGCTCACCTCCCGATCTACTGAGACGACCTGTGACAGTCTCATTGTCACAGGTCGGCTAGAACTATAAGGTGAGTGGAAATCACTAATCTCATAGTTCTCCTTTAATGACAATGGTCAGAAGAACAAAAAGTAGGGCGAATCTGCCCAATGAAGACACAAATAGCAAAAAAAAAAAAAAGTTTTACCTTTTACATGCCCTCGGAGGCCCAGGGAGTGTGGTATCATAAAACTAGAACAAGGGAAAAAAAGCTTTTTGCCCATGGTAGCTATCCAGGTTTAAATAATTCTTTAACCTACACTGAGAAAATAATCTATAAAAGCTGCCTTGGAACAATACATTTCTAAAATGTCATTTTTAAATTAAAAGAAAATAAACAATTGCATTAAAAAATGCTGTTTGTAGGATTATTTTAAAATGATGAGTAAAGAGATACAATTTTAAAGGGCTGCTAAAGTAGGATTGAGTTCATATTATAGGGCATTTTCTGAAACATTAGATCATATTTCTGGTTCACTTTTTTTGTTGCTGGATCAAAAAGGCTTGAAGTGTTAAGATTTTCCAAAATCTGTGGTCATGAATTATGAACAAAAATGTCAAAACACTGAAATGTATTTGTCTTACAACTAATTCATACTAAAGGTTTACCAATACCAGAACATAATCATATTTGCATAAAATGACAAGTATTAATTAAAATATATGCAGGAGTAACCTTACACTGGCTGAATAGAAAATGGGAAACATTATTTTTGGTAAACACTGTGTAGCTGTTCTCTCTTCTCAGATTGGGAGAGGGCTGCAGTGAATATGATCATCAACCTAATCAACAATCGATTACATTTCTCATTTGATTTTCTTTTTCAAATGTCATATTTTCTGTCTTTTGACACATTTTACATATATATAGGAGAAGAGATATTGCTCTACCATGTGTCTCAAACACTAATGTTAGTGCCTGTGTCACTCCCTTTTTTTCTGTAATCTGATTATCAGAAAAGCTTCTGATGAAATATCCACCTTGCTGACTCTCATACTTACCGAGCCTGGTGTAAAAAAAAAAAAAAACAATCGCCAGTAGTAGGAAGTTTCTCGCAGTCACTAATCAGATGCAAAGTTGCCTTAGAAGTAAGAATGTGGTTGGTAATGCACAGATTTAAAAACTGCAAAGCATGGTTTCCAGAAAAATATATTCCTATTGCGTTCATACTGACCCTCAATGGAGCAGTGTGTTTCCAACTCGTAGGGGATTACACACGTTAACTAAACTTTCTGACTTTAGCACACTTGGTGTGTTTTATGGATAACGTTAGTAGTTAACTAAATACTTTTTTATGTTGCCTAAAATTGCTCTTCAAGAAGTTTTTTTTAAAATAATTTCCAGTAACACTTATAGCCATGTGCATTTGGTAGTAAACCATGCCCACTGCTAGCATAACTATAAACACAAGGCCACACTTTCAAAAAGATTTTTGTCATTTTTATATATTTAGAAATTATTTAGAAATGTCAGTGAGCTGGGCGAGATGCCAGGCAGAGTGTCACCGCTTGCTAAGAGCTTTTAGCAACCTGGGATGCTGTGGCCAGTTTATGAACTTTACCTTACCTTACAATGTTTCTAATTGTTAGAACACTTTAGTGGACCTTTTTACCTGAAATTTGCCAAAACAGCCTTTCATCTATTTTTACGATGTAAAGACAGAAAGGGTTTTTAAAAAAAATTACTCAGACTGGCTGGTTGAAAATTCACTGCAGATTTGAAGGCATATAATTCCTGTAACTTCTATAGCCCAATATCACCGCTCCTTCACAGCAGCATGCGAGAGAATGGTGGGTGCTCACCATCTGAACCCATCTTGCTCCAGCATCAACAGTTATTTACAAAAAAGTCCGGTCACACACGGTTGCATACAATAACTCCTGCTATTAGTAAACGGGTAAAGGAACCCTTTACCCATTCACCCAAAGTAAAAAGTAAAAAAAACCATACAGATATGGTGCTAGTTTTAAAGATTATTGCTTAACTCAAATGGTTAAAAATAATTACAAACAAATAGTTCTTTTTCTTCCCTATTATAGTCCTCCTTTAAGGCTCTATTATAGTCTCCTTTTCAGTGGGAAACCCTAGCATTAAGGGCCTGTTCATACCAGCAAGTATGCATTAAGGTGCACATAATCTGCACCCACAGGCATGCATTGTGTATGTGTGCTGCTCTATGCGCGACTACACGTTGCCATGCATTACAGTGGTTCACAATGCGCATGTAAAAATGCAACATGTCTTTTATTACCTCAGGATGCACCAAATCAATGCATTTGTGTGAACTAAAGAAACAGATCATAGGGCAAATTGCCTTGTCTATACATTGGTAACTAAAGAATGGCATTCTGGTAAACTAGCAGGCTTTAGTTTCACATCTTAATTTTCAATAACATTGTTGATTTAATAAAAAAACCTCAATACCAGGTAAAGCTGCACTCCAGAATCCCTTT